TTTTTTTTTATTAGTGGGGTATGGTGGTGTGCACCTGTAGTCCCAGGTACTCCAGAGGCTGTAGGGGAATGACTGCTGGAGCACAGGACTTGGAGATTGCAGTAAGCCATGATCATGCCACTGCACTCCAGGCTGGGTGACACAGCAAGATCCCAGGTCAAGAAAGAGATAGAGGCTGGGCGCGGTGGCTCATGCCTGTGGTCCCAGCACTTTGGGAGGCCGAGGCGGGCAGATCACGAGGTCAGGAGATCAAGACCATCCTACGTAACACAGTGAAACCCCGTCTCTACTAAAAATACAAAAAATTGGCCGGACATGGTGGCGGGTGCCTATAGTCCCGGCCTTTGTGGCAATGGAGCAGCTCTCCCTGGAAGATTGATGCTGACGGAGGTGAAGCTCTCCTACCCACCTGCCCTCTGGGGAGACTCTGGGCATGGGGCTGAGCCCCAACCCCAGCTGTCCTGTCTTCCCTGCCCACTGCTGTTGGCTGTGACCTCTGCCAAGACTGGCCCAGGCTGGCAGTGTGGCGGACCCATGTGGAGGCCGCCCTGGGTACTGAGCTCTTCCTGGAGGCCCACGAGCTCATTCTCTAGCCTCAGAACCACAGTGAGGCTCAGCGGGACCCCCAGCTGGCCCAGAAGCAGGTGCAGTTGCTGCAGGAGTGGCTCTGCTGAGTGGGTGTAGCCCACTCCAATGCACCCTGCTGTCTGCAATACACACACTGCATACTCTTCGCTTGTCTCCAGGCTTACTTTGTCACTGGAAGTGGGGTCAGTCCAGTTTCTGAGCCTAGACATATTAGATCACACAGCATAGAGTGAGTGGCACTCAGTCCCCCATGTGGGGCTCTAGTTACTTTCCTGGGCCACCAGGTGCACAGTCTGGCCACTGCAGCCCCAACCCAGGCCAGAAAGTTTCTGGGCTCCTCTGCATGGCACACACTGGAGGATTAATTAGTACAGGAAGGGTATAACCACCATTTTTGGGGTATGGGCCCGATAACTTACTTAGCTGACATTACTGTGGGGTGATAGGATGTGGTGTATTAGGTAGCACGGAGAATTTTGGACTCTCACGGGTAGGTTCAATTCCTGTAACTCGAGAAATAAGAGGGTTTAAATCTCTGTAATTTATTCTATCAAAGTAACTCTTTTTTTTCTTTTTGAGATGGAGTCTCGCTGTGTCGCCCAGGCTGGAGTGCAGTGGCGCGATCTCGGCTCACTGCAAGCTCCGCCTCCCGGCTTCACGCCATTCTCCTGCCTCAGCCTCCGAGTAGCTGGGACTACAGGTGCCCGCCACCACGCCCGGCTAGTTTTTTGTGTTTTTAGTAGAGACGGGATTTCACCATGTTAGCCAGGATGGTCTCGATCTCCTGACCTCGTGATCCACCCGCCTCGGCCTCCCAAAGTGCTGCGATTACAGGGGTGAGC